TGATGTTCGAAAAGGCTTGAGATTGGCGAAGCGGGGAGTGAGTCATAGACAATAGGAGAGTAAACAGCAGAGCGGCATGAGAGAAGAGACAAAGAGAGTGAGAATAAGTTAAACAATATTTCCACCAGTGTATTAACATCTTCGTTGTGTAAATGTCTTCATTGAATGTATCTATATTAAAATTCCGTCCACGTGTTATTTACCCACACTGTCGAGGCGGAGTCTCAGATTCTGTCTTTCTTCCTTTCTTCCGTTCTATTCAGAACTCGACATTATTGTATTCTAATGAAATTAACACAACGAACTACTCGATTCTATAATGTTCTCTAGGAAAATGTGCAGCAAAAGTAAACCAGTAAGAAAAGTTGTCACAAGTATGTATAAACTAACCGGAAGTTCAGCTTTACGTCCCAAAAACGGTGTCTCGGCAGTAGAGGTGTTAGAATCCGGAGAGGAAAGTTGATATCGATTATATTTTAACGATGACACTTATACTCGCGGATTCCGAATCTACAAGGCGCGAACTTCGCGAAGGGAGGAGACATTGTGGTTTTTTGCTGTGTACTAGATCGACCGCTCTTAACTGTACTCGCTTGGTTTCTATAATAATGCTCTAAGGGATTTTTCGGGTATATTTATAAGGAAGGGATTTGTGGGAGAAGGTGAACTTGGTTCTGGTGACGAATTGCTGGACAGGGCTTTGAAGGGACAGTCAGCGACCGATGAGTAACTTGTTTTTCGGCGTTATGGGGTTAACCTTAAGAGTGACTTGGTGACTCAATGTCAATAGAAGGGTTAAGGACACAGAATTAATCCTTTATCTATTCATTTCAATCACTAAAATCTAATTGCCATCCTGACACACTGGACACTCATAAAAATGAGTGCATTTGATGCAACCAGTCTTCATATTTCTTCTCCAAACGAAGCATCGAAGTGTCCATTTTCAAATTTTACTTTTTGCTAGCGAAGACTGGATGTTCGCAACGAATTTTTCAAATTCTACCAATCTTTGTAACTTTTTCCCAAATGAAATACCAAAATGTCCATCTTCAAATTTTACCCTTTTTACCAGTCAAATTACTCGCACAGTGTCTTCCTTCAGCCCTCGAATGTCTCCGAGAATCTTCACCGAGTAGTCTAAGGTTGGCCCAGAAAAAGTGGACGAACTCGTAGCTGCCAATATTAGCCCAGTTCACAGTACCGTTAATTCCAAGACACAATAGCAGAGACCTCGCCTCCTCGGGTACCTCTCCGAGAAGGAGGATCTGTCACGAGCGTGCAATCAGGCCCGCTGACAGGTGTGCCACAAGACGTGGCCTGACCTCCTGACGTTCGATCGATAGGTGTCTATCAGATAAAGGCCATCGGTGAATTAAACGAATATCCTCCTGTCTCGTGGTCTTTTTACCTCAGCTGACCGGTATCAGGTTCCCCGATCCTCTTCAACTGGACCTGATTTACTCTGAACTCTCGTTAAACCGTCTTCGCTGAAAATTTTAGAACCCACTGTACGTTGCAAAATCACACAAAATTCCCAGTAAAAATTGAACAACTTGTGAAACATTTCATCCAACGTTTTACCACTGAAACCCATCGAAACGCGAGTAAACGGACGAATTAAATTCCTATTTATCTCGTCGATATCTCAATTTTGCATCCACAGTGAGTTGGCCGTAGATTATTGCCGCGATTTTTATATCGTGAAATGAAATATTGCAGCAAATTTTCAGGTAATTTCGAACTGTTCAGCGAATCGAAGGGAAAATTCGAAATTGGCAAGTAAAGAAGCGAGGAGGTAAATTGACGAAAGGGAGAATAAATGGCGGGAAAACGTGGATTTAAATAATTGCAAAGGTAGATGGATGAAAGTCGTCGACAAGTGTTTGGAAGGAATTGTGGTACGGCGAGGATAGGGGAAAGGTCGTTGCCAGTGTGTTATCAATCGTGACAGAATTCAGATTGTTGGACGGAACGGAGGAAGAGGGAGAGAGAGGACGGTTTATCGGGCATTTCTATCGACAACGCGTCGAGATTAGGCGCGCGCGTATCGTTGGCCTGGGTTTCTCCTGTGAGCCAGCCAGGGATATACTGGTTTTCTAATCGGAACATTTAAAAAACGAACACGTCCGCTTGCTATGACAAACCGACCGCGTATCTCCGTGCCGCGTGAACCACGGAACCGGGCAACTCGCTCGCCCGTGTCCCATATTCGTGCAAAACCAGTCGAACTGGTGGTGGGCTGTTTGAAAAGCGCGTTTCTGTGTTCCGCACCGGCGAGCCGGCGGTTTTCTGTAATAAAAATTCCCGATAACCAGTCTGATCGATGAGACCGTGGAATTGCTCGATTAGGATCAACTTGGTACCTAGTTTGCAGACGTTCCGGTTATTACAAACGGTCGGGGAATGGAACTGTTCTGCTCGTGATTCGGCGAAGGGGGAGTAATTTTGGAGTAGTTCTTTTTATGTTTCAAGAAGTATTTGCAGTGTAGGAGCTTGACTTGGTTTAGAAAAGGAGAGACTTTGTTTTTTATTTGGAAGAGGAAGATTGTTTTTTGAAATTTTGAGCAGATGTTTACAAGTTTTCTGAAGAATTCGTAGTGCAAGAGCTTGACTTGGTTAGAAAAGGCAAGACTGGTTTTTATTTGGAAAAGGAAACAACAGATGGTTTTTAAAATTTTCAGTAATTCTTTCCAAGTTTTCTGAAGAATTTGTAGTATATATAAGAGCTTGACTTGTTCGTAAGAATTGGTTTAGAAAAGGAAAGATTCTATTCTTGAATTGGAAAAGGAGGAAACAGAGGGTTTTTAATTTTGTCTTTCAGAATTTTGAGTATCTTTTTTCAAATTTTAACGAAGGATGTGCAGCATAAGAATTTCACTCACAATTAGTTTGTTTAACAATTCAGTGACTGGACTGCAGTCGACCAATGTATGATTAAATTAAGTCGAACGATCTACGGTACTGTCAAAAAATTTACTGCCTTGCTTAGCCAAAGTATGATTAAGTTTAGAGTTGAACTATTTAACTGCCCAATTAATTTATAACAGTCAAATTTGTACAAATAGCACTCCAACTAAAAATACACATGTGTGCCACTCTCTCGGTATTTTTTTTTTACTACGATATACGTATACACGAGGTGGACTAATTTAATTTCCCAAGTCAGGCAATCCCTCGAATATTCCCCGTTTAATTCGCGTTTCTCGATTATCGTACCTACACAAAAGCAGACGAGCCTCTCCGATCGAGAACACAGACAATCCTCCCTCGAAGAATCACCTTTCCCTCCTTTCCACTCTGTAACAATCGATCCACCCGTTGCATTACCCGACTTGCGGAATACCAGCGTGCACGCGTCGTTGTTATAAAGCTCCGGGTGGTAAATCAATAATTCCGCGTGCCGCGATCAATGGCTAATGGGGGGAATTTTTGACGATCCTCGACGCGTACAATTTCCCCGTGAAATATTCACGCTGGTACGTGCATAACAAGAGGATATTTTCCATCGAACTACACCGAGGGCTATTAACGAAACGGTGGCTCGTTTCGTTGCGCCTTTAGCCGGGGCCTGGGCAAATTGCCTATAATGTGGACACGTTGGAAAATTCACCAGGCGAAAAGTCGACGGCCTGGCCACGGTGGCCATTTCACGTATAGAAATAATTCATTTAGAAAACGAGCTTCCCCCCTCCCGCCAACCTTCGAATTTGCGAGCTGGATGTTTGCCCTGGCGCTCGCGAAACGCGCAATAACCCTTTTATCGCCACGCCGGTGTGTTCGTTTTGTGGACCGATCTCTCCTCTCTCTTTATCTCTCTGCACGTCAAACATTGCCGGTTGAAACGATTTTTGTTCGCGAATTGGGGGGATTTTACATTTTGGATAAATGCTCTTTCTGGAAAATTGTGAAACTTCGTTTCGTCGAGTTAGGGGAGTAAGGAGAAGATTGAAGAGGAAGAGTTACGTGTTTTAACCCTTTCAGTTGTTAGAGAGGGTGTACTTTCAATGTGAATCTTAATATTAATGCGAAGCTTCATTTTGTTTAAATGTTAGATGATTTGGATTTAATTGTGGGATATTGTTAAAGCTCTTTTCTGTTTGTTGCACAAAAATACTATCTACTACTTGTGTATTATAGTATCTATTTTTAGTAGGATTTATTACTTTCGGTGTTAGTACCACTTCTACGAATTCCAGTAGTAGTATTACTATTTTTACCACTGTCGCTGCTATTACTGTCTTTACTACTGGTGCTAGGTTTGTCAGTTCCACTATTGCTGCTACGTTTTTGAGTACTAGCAGTACTGTTTTACTATTACTGCTACTGCTATTATTTATTTTTTAGTATGACTGCTGTTGCTGCTACTGTTTTGCTATTGCTGCCACTAGTAGTGTTACTGTTTCACTATTGTTGCTGCTACTACTACTACTTGGCTATTACTGCTACTACTATATTCCTATTTTACTAGTAGTGCTGCTACTACTGCTACCTTGTTATTGCTGCTACTAGCAGTGTTACTATTTCACTATCGTTGCTGCTACTATTACTATTTCACTACTGCTGCGACTACTATTATTTCTATTTTCCTATTATTGTTGCTGCTGCTGCTATTTTGTTATTGCTGATACTAGTGGTGTTACTATTTCATTATTGTTGCTGCTACTACTACTATTTTACTACTACTGCTGCTATTATTTGGCTATTACCGCTGCTACTATTATTTCACTACTGCTGCTACTAGTAGTATTACTATATCACTGTTGTTGCTACTACAAGGTTTACTGTTACTATTTTACTATTGCTGCTGCTACTACTACTGTGACTATTTTATTACTATTGCTACTACTATTTTACTATTGCTGCTACTACTACTGTTACTATTTTACCACTGTTGCTACTACTGACTCTACAGTCACGACGAATAGCAACGATATGAACATCGACTCTGTTACACGTCACAGAACGATCGAATACGATGAAAAATCGCCCTGTTTCAGATGCCTCGTCGTCGAACGAAGCGGTGCACCTCCAGCAGCGTCTCAGGAACCTGAGTACGGAACTTGTGACCCTGAGGAACCGGCTGCACGTGAACCAGCCGCCGAACAACAATTCAGGGCCGAACACGGCGGCATCGGCGCCCCTGTCTAAGAGCCCGGAAAAAGGTGGCGTACCGTCGTCCCCGGCACCAGCTGTCCCACCTAGGGCCACGTTACCACTAGCTGGTACCCTGCCCCACGGACTTGGTCATCCTTCGGGGCACACGTTGACGGCGTCAGCGATCGTTCATCCGCACGTCAATCATTCCAGCGCGAACACGCTCGGCCACAACTCGACCGCGGCTAATAATTTAATATCCGGTCAGTATGCTCCTCTATTCTCTCTCTCTCTCTCTCTCTCTCTCTCTCTCTCTCTCTCTCTCTCTCTGCACGATGCTTCCCTCCGTCACCTCGCGAATTCACTCGAAAATTCATGCTACCAGTGTGGTTGCGGCGTTGTATTGTGCGTTCATGTTCGTATAAGGGTCGATTTTCGAATTTTCGTCTTTCTCTATGTGCAAGTCGTAATGGGGTGAGTTTAGGAATCGTGAGATTTTTCGAGTTTCTGTCGTTAGATCGATTTATCTCTCGGTAATAAAGATATTAAGGATATTGTGCAGGTAGATCGATTTGGAATTCTTTCTGCTTCGTGTTATTGGGTGATTTTAGAAATTGCGAGTTCGAGATTTTTTAGTGGGACTCTGCTGTTAAAGAGAATTAATTGCTACTGACAGTAAAGATATTATGCAGGTTATTGGTAGACGGATGAAGAAATACTTTTAACGGTTCATATATTAAAAATTTGTTAGAAAGTTCAAACGAACCCAAATAAAATAAAAAGAAAAATCATTTAAGCAACCAAGATAAGTTCTAAACTCGTCGATCATCAAGTATACACTTTTTCCTCGAAGTTACATCCCCCCAGTCGAATCTTAAATATCAATTTCACCGTATGAAATACTCGAACAACAGATTCTTCTGTTTCCTCGGCAGAAACGACGAAATCCATTAAAACGTTGATCCCCTCGCGATCGTTACATCATCCGCTGTTTATTACGAAATATTTGCCGTGGAATTTACGTAACTCTCCTCGGCCGGAAAGGGGCTATAATCAGTGGACGAGTTCTCGCGATTATCGCGAATTAAAACGGATCACCGCTGTTCACGTGGACGTCCATCCAGTCCGTTTCGATGCTCGTTAATATTTAAACGGCCGCGTAATATCGTCATTACGTTAATTCGCGATACGCTAGAGCGTGAACGGCAGCTTTTTCCGCGCGTGAAACGCGCGGCTGCCGATGTTTTAAATAACTCCGACTCTCCCTGCGAAATCATGGAAACGGTAAACGGGTCTGTTTACAGAATCGCCATTTCCCCGTCGATTTCACCGAACGTTTTATGATTTATTTACCATTTCCACTCGCGCGGATTTTCAACCGCTTCGTTCGTTTTTCTTTCTTTTTTTTTTCGCTTTTTTCTTTTATTTCGTGTTTTTCACGTTTTTCCCCGTTTCGGGGTTGGATTCGACGGGGGAAAGGATGTACGAAAATATCGAGGGAGAATTTGTGGTTTATTCGAACGAAATGTCTTTTGAGGGAATGTTTTTCTTTGTTTGTTTGGTGAAAATCGAGGAAACGAGCTAAAGTGGTTTACGCGTGGCAAGATAGCACGCGCGTCTGATCTCGAATACCTTCCGGTTAATCGAGCCCCGCCCGGCGAAATTGCACGCCTGGTACAGTTAACCGCGATTCGTTTGAACCTTATGTGGACCTTTTTGGTGTTCTGAGGAGGATTCGGAGGACGGAGGGACTTGGAAGATGGTTGGTCACCGTGGTAGAGGTTACTTTGATCTGATTTTTATTCTTATCTGTGGCTTCTGGAAATCTCCACTTCTGCAGTTCTTCAAATTTTGAAATCTCCAATTGTCTAAATTTGAAAATTTCTGTATCTCCACATCTCCAAACTTTCGAATCTCGAAATCTTCATATTCTCAAAGTTTCAAATCTCGAAATCTCCAAAATTTCTAATCTCCAAATTTCCATATTTCCAAATTTTCAAATCTCCGCTTCTCCAACTCTCCAAATTTTCAAATCTCCACTTCTCCAACTCTCCAAATCTTTAAATCTCCAAAGTTTCAAATCTCCACATCACCAATCTTTCGAATCTCTAAATCTCCAAATTTCCAAATTTCCAAATCTCCACTTCTCCAACTCTCCAAATCTTTAAATCTCCAAAGTTTCAAATCTCCACATCTCCAACTCTCAAAATTTTAAAATCCCCAAATTTTCTAATCTTCACTTCTCCAAATCTCCAAATCCCCAAATTATCAACTCTCTGCTTCTCCAAATCTCCAAACTTCAAATTTCATCTTTTCTAACATACTTCTCATCTTTCAGACTTGGATCCACCGAAACGACACAATGGTATCCCAGACGACGGCATAGTGTCGTGCGTAACGGCGCTGGGCTGTCTACGTTCGCCTCCGATCTCGAGCATCATCGCCGACGTGAAAAACGCGAAGAGTAACCAGGGCCAGCATCGATGTCTCCCGAAAGGCAATGCGGCTTCCTCAGGGCCCGCGAATTCCACGGCCTTGGACGACCTCATTCATCTACCCGGTCCTCTCACGGAGGATGCGGTCCTCAAGTGTCTGCAGGCTCGATTTTGCGCCAAGCAGTACCACGTGAGTACTTAACATAAAAAATCCAATAGTATTTTACTTAATCTTACAATTGTTATTCGTTTCAAGCGTAATTTCACCTTTAAACGTTAATATCTGCTTGTAAAAAAAATTTATAACTTAACAACTTGAGTAACTCGATAACTTAAGTTACTCAATCTCTCGAATAACTTGATCACTCGAATAACTCAATAATTTAAATATCTCGACAATTTTAGTAACTTAACCCTTTGCACTCTGTTGTCACCGCCGTGGCGACATTGTAAGTGGAACTAACAGCTCCATTGTCGTTGCTGCGGCGACATTGTAAGATATATTTCTAAGAAAATTGAATGCCTACAAAGTATCTTCCACAGAGGCGCACTCGCACCGTTGTAAACAGTCTCGGAGTAGCTGGTTGCCCATAGTAAAAATGATTCAGAGTTCTGGTAGGTGGTGTTAAAAATTTCTCGGAGTGCAAAGGGTTAATAACTTGAATAAATGAAAGCTTCTCCGCTAAAATTGCTGTATTTCGAGGCTTTTTTCCTTATTTCCCCGTAGTTGCATCAATACGTTAGTTCAGACTTCAGTATCAGTATCTGATATCCCAATCAACGCCACGAATTCCACCAATTCTCCTCCCAGCTGTAATTCAATCAATCACTCGAAACCTCGATAGTGACGACAGTTCACGATAAGTTCGCGTTGCTTCTAATTGAGATGAATGTTTCATCCCTAGAAATATCGTTCCTCTCTAATCATTCCACTCCTCCGATATCTTTCGAAAAGCGTAAAACTTCCTCCTCCGAAAAAAACCAAAAACAAAAAAGCACTATTTTCACGATTATCAAACCCTGGACGAAAGAAAACAAAGAAGAAAAATCGTACGAAACAGCGGAGTCCTTCTAGAAAGGTTCTCTCTGGTCCTCTTAACCAGTTTATCGATTACGGTGTCGCTCTGCTTCTGATGTACCGGTGGTTGTCGAATTTAACGAGGTCTCGGTCGAGGTGTAGCCCATTTCGCGGCGGATAACCGCGCTCGAAGGAGAAATCGGCCGTTTCTCAATAGGTCGTCGAGACGACAAGGGGAAACCGTGGCGAAAGAAAGGGAGAACGCCTCGGGTGAAAAAGTCCACGGGCTGAGATACCGCGTTGGCTGATTGGACCGTTGATGGACGCAAAAAGTGCTCCGTTTCCGGCCGCGGCCCGCTGCAATTAGTTTCCGCGAGGAACAGGTTGCCGATTCTCCTTCTTGATTGAATTGTCAACAAGTTCTAGCCGTATAGACAATAATTAATCACATTCTAATCGTTTAATTATCCTTCCATCGTTTTTTCCCATTCACTTCTCGTATTTCTCATTTTTCATTAACATTTTTCTGTCTATCATTTTTAATTATCGTTCCATCATTTCCTAATTTATTTTTGCATTTTGCATTTTTGCATTGATCGATTATTTTATAATCTGTTTTCGTCTTAATACTATTTCTAAATTTATTTTTGTATCGATCATTTTTCAATGTGATTCTGCACTAATCGTGTCTTATTTAATTCACGGAATGAATTCTTTGGCACGAAAGAATAAACATATTTGTGTCAGATACGAAGTATTACACGATTTATTATTGCATTAATTTCGACGAAAAATACGGAGAATCTCATTTACCAAAGATCGATAGGAAAATGGGTTATGAAATGAAATAGTCTCTTTATCTTTTAATATACTATTTATTAACGGACTCAGAGGAAACGTCTTTACTCTTTGGAATGTTCCCAAAAGGAAAGCTGGGGTCCGCTTATACCTAGGAACTGTTTACTCTATGGTATCGCAGTGTGCAGTGCGTGACTCGAAGACGGACACCAGACACATCTGGTGGAAGTCTTATACGTCGTTCAAAATAAGAGTAACCTCGCTCTCGGACCGATTCTCGTCCGTTCTGCGCGTAGACAGAGAGCGTGGCAGAGGGCACGACGGAGAAGAACGTAGGCGGTTAAGTTCGGACGTTGTAGCCCTGCCTTAGGCACGCCCCATGCGCGAAGCGAGGTTACTCTTATTTTGAACAGAGTATAGTTTGTCTAAAAGGACGCGGAGACATTTTTGTCCTCGCTTGATTATTTCTACAGAAATAATCCAACAAATTTTTTATTCAATTTTCCCATACATCACACATACACTACCGGCCAAAAGTTTCGAATCACCGAGCACTGCAATTTACCCAAAAATTTCCGGAAAAGAGTCAGCGACTTTGAGAATGTTTTATCGTTCGAATCAATTGATAAATGTAGAGATAAACTTGAAATCTATAAAACATTAGCAGCAGGTTTAATATCGATGAAAAGTGGGAGGTGATTCCAGTACCAGTACAACAGTAATTTCTAAATTCACTTAAACAGTATTACAACAGTATTACAACATCCCAACAGCCCAATTACAAAACTCTCCCATCTCCCAACAGCCTAATTACAAAACTACTTATAAAAACTCTCATTAAAAATCCATCAGTAGCAGCAATTACCAATCCAAGCTCCATTCACTTTCAATTCCCTCCAAAACGCAACATCTCCCTCGAAATAAGTCCCAAAAAATCCCACTAAAGGACATCTACCGTACTGCAAGTGTAGTGTGTGTGCATGTCCGAGTTGTTAACACATTGTTGACCGGCAATGTTACGCAGAAGCTATCTCATGTCACCGGCTATTATTTCGTAATTGAACGTGGAAGTGAAACAATTTAAACAAACTTCAATAAATTTTATTTATACATAACGAATTGAAATGAAACTTTGGACCTTTTATATAACTTTTAATATAAAAGAAAAGCAAAAAGTGAAAGTGTAGTATCGGGGCCTCCGTACCCAAAAAATAGGAAACCTCGAAGGGAGAATACAGAGGGAGTGGTTGGCGTAGCGCCGGGTTCGATTCCCGTTGAGTCCCTCAATATTTTTCCCTAGGTTCCTACAAATGAAGACTCGTCCGGGATGGAGGCATCTATGGCTGCACGAAGCCAGGCGCTGTGAGATGAAAACATCTCGAAGGTTGCACGTCTCCCAAAAATGCGTTGTTTCGGCTGTGTGCTGCCACTGTGTGGGGGAGTATGCCCGAAAGTGTTGAGTTGTGTTGCACCGAGGACATTCGAGGGCGAATGTCAGTTCAGGATGGCCGAGTGTAGTATCGGGGCCTCCATGCCCCAAAAATAGGAAACCGGCACGGGAGAATAGAGAAGGAGTGGTTGGCGTAGCGTGCAAAGCCTCGGCTTGCTAAGCCGAAGGTCCCGGGTTCGATTCCCGTTGGGTCCCTCAATATTTTTCCCTAGGTTCCTACAAATGAAGACTCGTCCGGGATGGAGGCATCTACGGCTGCACGAAGCCAGGCGCTGTGAGATGAAAACATGTGAGAGGGTTTGCACGTCTCCCAAACAGAGTTTTGGCTGAGAGTGCCACTGTGGGGGGAGTGTACCCGAAAATGTTGAGTTAAGCTGTGTTGCACCGAGGACATTCGAGGGCGAATGTCAGTTCAGGATGGCCGAGTGTAGTATCGGGGCCTCCATGCCCCAAAAATAGGAAACCGGCACGGGAGAATAGAGAGGGAGTGGTTGGCGTAGCGCAGGGTTCGATTCCCGTTGGGTCCCTCAATATTTTTCCCTAGGTTCCTACAAAAGCAAATTCTTAAATCGAAAAACTACGATTGCCGTAGTGTCATAAAGTTACTGCTGTTACGAAACGAACTAACGGCTCCCGAGACTAATTACAAAGGCGAAAATATATACAATAGAAATACATGTTGACAAATTCCAAGACGCGACTAAACACGACGAACAAAGCTTTTGCAATATCCTATATTACCCTGCGTTTCAAAAATTGAAATAGCTAATGCAAATGCAAACACGAGTTCACTCGTGACCGGTCAACAACGTGTTAACAGAGGAGCAGCGTTGTTTGGCGGTTGCTAATGATCAGACTGGAACAGCACGTCATCGCGAGAAGACGTTGATCGGCCGTTTGGTTGTCCGCGCGCCCCTTAACGCTATCCCAGCCCATCCCATCCAACCACCCTTCCTTATTATTCCTTCGCCTGCAACAGGGTCAGAGCGTGGTGCTTGCGTGCACTGGCGAGTCCGCCTCCCCGAGGTCCCCGTGGATGAGGTGGTAGCCGGCGTCGGGGTATTTGCCCGGTCGACTATTAACGCAACTGAAGGGCTCATTTTTCCATCGCCCGTTCTCGGGGCAGTGAAACATGTGCACCAGAAGGTAGGTTCTTGCTGAACGGAGATATGAGCGAGAACTCTTGCAAACTCCGAAAGTCCTTTTCAGGGCGGCAACAAAATGACGATGATGTAAAATCGCCTATCCCTTAGATTTTCAGAAGTGGGATTCGAACCCACGTGAACCCAAGTCCACCAGAATTCCATGCTCCCAGTGACAATTTCCGAACGAAAGTGTGAAAGCGACAGCGAACATGGCTGGAAATTCTAAAACTCGTCTAATCGTAAGCTGGATAGCGCGAGCGAGTTGTTGGAAAGCTCGCGACATAAGGGGATCGAGAGAATGGAGCATCAGAGAAGGACGGGGCCCGACGTGGGACCGGTTCTCTCCCTCCCCGCGCCTCTTTCGGCCGTTTTTCACCTTTTTGTTCGTCCTGCGCCGCGTTGCTTTCTCTAGGTGGGCTTCTAATAGGAACCGAAGCCCGCCAAAGCCTCACCGCTTGGTGCCTGTTGCACCAGCCTCTCTGCTCTTTTACCCTCCTTCGTCCTCTCTGCGCCTCTCTTCACTCTCCGCTTCCCGTTCCTTCTTCGTTGTCCCGATTTCCGAGTGTCTGCACTTTTCGGCGTCGACTCGTTTCGTTCCTCTCTGGATTACTTTGCGAGGAAAAGCGTCGACTGTGTTGAGGAGACGTTCATTCCTGGATTGTACTTTTTCTTCTTCTTTGGGGGAATTCATTTTTGGTGCTGCTTGAAAATTTGAAAAATAGGCGGTTTGAAAATTTGCCCGCGTTGTAGTCTTGGAGACTTTGGCGCAGAGTTGAGTTAATGCTTGATTTTATTCTTTATGCACTTCGAGGTGAATTTAATACTTGATTTTGTGCTTTAGGCACTTCTAGGTTAGTCAAGGTTAGTATATGTGGTCAATAATAGTAAATTTTGCAGGTTGAAAATTTATCGTTGAAATTTGCTGTAACGAAGGAATTTTGATTTGGAAAATTAGAGTGTATTTGAGCTTTTGAATTTCTTTTGTTCGAATTGCTGATGATTTAGGTATTTGTCAGAGCGATTCTTTTTTTCTACTGCAGTGTAATTTGGGTTGCATCTGGATGGCGCATATGAAAGCTTCGAGGTTCGAATGCAAATATTTTTGACTATTTTACTTAATCGAAGTAATTTCATTAATATGGATTGTGAATAATTTTCACTTCTATTGGATCAGCGTCTTCTCTCGAGCTCTCGAGTGCTCAATTTACTTGCAATCTTATATAAAAAAAAAAAAGAATCTAGAGAGTGTCTTGCTGGTTTCAGTAGACGTTCAGCTCAATTTCCAACGAGCCACGCTAATCGCCAATTAAAAAAAAAAAAAGGGAGATACCTACTTGCCCAAGAACTCGAATCAATTCCTCCCGATCTCTACCTAAAAACTCGACTCCCGCTTTGTCCCTGTAAATCATCCTTCACCCAGTGATCAATTTAACCTGGAATTTTTGCAACGAGCACCATTGCCACGCAATAACAAAAGCAAGACAGATGTTCCACGCGTACGTTCTTCATAATCAGTCTCGTAACTCGGAGCTACGATTAATCTTGTTGGCTCTAGGCATCCATAATCCACGCGTTCAGCAATAACAATGCGAAAAAGTAGTTGCCGGAGAGCGAGAGACGAGGAGGAGGATGGAGGATGGAGGAGGGTGGGGAAAAAGTAGTCTCATTCCGTTTGACGAGCGAGATGTTTGATGACGAACCGACAATCGGACGAGAGTAGATAATCGAAACGCGTTTGCAGACGAACGTGGGCCCCATACTGGTCTGTATCAATCCATATACGGACGTCGGGAATCCATTGACCTTAACGAGTACCAGGGCCGTACCCTTGGCGCCCCAGCTGAACAAAGTTGTCCAGGAGGCCGTGAGACAGCAATCGGAGACAGGATACCCGCAGGCGATCATCCTTTCCGGTAAACAGCTGAATAAAGATTGTCTGAGATGGCAGGGAGAGACGATGGTAACCCCTTTAACCCCTTGCTTTGTAACGATGAGTCAGAGTTTTAGCGGTGGATTCTGAAGAAAGCATTTTGTGTCGTTACGAAGTGTGCTGTGTGGCGAAGAGAGTTTGAATTAGTTTGAATGCGATTTTATATTTGGAGGTCTTGATATTCTTGAGGAGTGTTGAGTCTTGAGTTTTGAGTCTTGAAAGTCTTGGTAAGTGTTGAATCTTGAGTCCTAATAGGTCTTGAGTCTTTAAAGTTTCGATAAGTGTTGAATCTTGAGTCTTCGTAAGTCTTGCGAGTCTTTGAAGTTTTAATAAGTCTTGAAAGTCTCGGTAAGTGTTGAACCTTGAGTCTTTGTAAGTCTTGCGAGTCTTTGAAGTTTTAATAAGTCTTGAAAGTCTCGGTAGGTGTTGAATCTTGAGTCTTCGTATGTCTTGCGAGTCTTTGAAGTTTTAATAAGTCTTGAAAGTCTTGATAAGTGTTGAATCTTGAGTCTCGGCACATCTTGAGTCCCTAAAGTTTCTGTATCTCGAATTTTGAGTCTTAAAAGTCTTGATAAGTCTTGAATCTTGAGTCTTAGTAGATCTTAAGTCCTTAAAGTGTCGATAAGTCTTAAATCTTGAGACTTGAAAGTCTCGACAAGTCTTGATTCTTGAGCCTTAGTAGATCTTGAGTCCTTAAAGTTTCGATAAGTCTTAAATCTCGTCTTCGCAAGTCTCGTGAGTCTTTAAAGTGTCAATAAGCCTTGAATCTCGAGATGTCGAATACTTACCAAGCTTCCAATATTCCCAAGATGATATTCTTTTCACTCAACAAATGATCTTTGCAGAAGCGCTAAGTTAAAGGGTTAATCATCGGCTCTTATACGATCTTTTACTTATGCTGTTAGCCAAAAGTTTGGGACCACTATCCTCAGCATAGGTTTTCAGAGGAAGGTCTCAAACTTTTACTCAGTAGCGTATCCTAATATTTTTAAGGAACTATTTTTTTTTTTAATTATTTTTAATTAGGAACCAGTGGTTCTGGGAAAACGTACGCGTCCATGCTGTTACTTAGACAATTATTCGACGTGGCTGGCGGTGGTCCAGAGACAAGCTAAGTTAAAGGGTTAATCATCGGCTCTTATACGATCTTTTACTTACGCTGTTAGCCAAAAGTTTGGGACCACTATCCTCAGCATAGGTTTTCAGAGGAAGGTCTCAAACTTTTACTCAGCAGCGTATCCTAATATTTTTAAGGAACTATTTTTTTTTTTAATTATTTTTAATTAGGAACCAGTGGTTCTGGGAAAACGTACGCGTCCATGCTGTTACTTAGACAATTATTCGACGTGGCTGGCGGTGGTCCAGAGACAGACGCTTTCAAACATTTGGCAGCGGCGTTCACGGTCCTCAGGTCTTTAGGATCTGCAAAGACCGCAACTAATTCCGAGAGTTCGAGGATAGTACGTGACGATGAATTTTTTTCCCCTGAATTTATTTACGATTTTTCGAAAAAGTGAGAGTGAGAATCGAGAGAGGTTACGACGAATGTTTCTTTAGGGTCATTTTATCGAGGTCCAGGTCACGGATGGTGCGTTGTACAGAACAAAGATTCACTGTTATTTCCTGGATCAAACGAGAGTCATCAGGCCTCTCCCGGATGAGAAGAATTATCATATATTTTACCAGATGCTGGCTGGATTGTCGCACGAGGAACGAGGTAGAGAAATTGGGGAGAATTGAGGGTGTGGGATGGAATGATTGAGTGGTGAGAGTGGGAGGTTTATTGAATTGTGTTTTATTCGATAGTTAAGCTGAATTTGGAGGGTTACAACTTGAAGAATCTCAGGTATCTGCAGCATGGAGACACCAGGCAGGACGAGGCTGAGGATGCCATTAGGTTTCAGGCGTGGAAGGCCTGTTTAGGTGTGTGGCTATTTATCTTTATTTGCTTTTTGGTAAAATTCAGAATTTAACGCTAAGAATTTCTAAACTGCTAATATTTTTCAAACTTTAAAATTCTAACTGTCTGCTATTTAAAATTCCAAATTTTCAAGCTCTCAAATTTCCAAAGGATCCCGAAGTTCCAAATTCCAAATTTTCAGGATCCCGAAGTTCCAAATTCCAAATTTTCAGGATCCCGAAGTTCCAAATTCCAAATTTTCAGGATCCCGAAGTTCCAAATTCCAAATTTTCAGGATCCCGAAGTTCCAAATTCCAAATTTTCAGGATCCCGAAGTTCCAAATTCCAAATTTTCAGGATCCCGAAGTTCCAAATTCCAAATTTTCAGGATCCCGAAGTTCCAAATTCCAAATTTCAAATTTTCAGGATCCTGAAGTTCCAAATTCCAAATTTCCACACTCACAGTATTAATAATTCCCAAATTTCAAATTTGAAATTTCCACACTCACAGAATTAAACATTCCGAATTTCCACATTCCCAAAATTAAAACCTCCAAATTTCCACTCTCGCAGAATTAAACATTCCCAAATTTTCACACTCCCAAAATTAAAACCTCCAAATTTCCACACTCCCAAAATTAAAACCTCCAAATTTCCACACTCCCAAAATTAAAACCTCCAAATTTCCACACTCCCAAAATTAAAACCTCCAAATTTCCACACTCCCAAAATTAAAACCTCCAAATTTCCACACTCCCAAAATTAAAACCTCCAAATTTCCACACTCCCAAAATTAAAACCTCCAAATTTCCACATTCCCAAAATTAAAACCTCCAAATTCCACTCTCACAGTATAAAACCCTCGAAACCTCCAAAATTCCAAATTTCCAAGACCTCTGAATTACAAAAAAAATAAAATACAAAAACAAAAACTTCTCCGCAGGGGTGCTAGGTATACCTTTCCTGGACGTGGTTCGAGTGTTAGCAGCTGTCCTGATCCTCGGCAACGTGGGCTTCACGGATCGTCCTGGAGTGGAGGTCGGCGTCATTGGAGAGAACGAACTAGCCTCTGTGGCGGCTCTCCTTGGCGTACCACCTCCAGCATTACTCAGAGGTCTCACGTCGAGGACACACAATGCCCGTGGCCAGCTTGTGAAGTCGGTCTGCGACGCGAATATGGTACTGTTAACTCATTCTGTGCAATCTGTGCCGTAACGCCAGGCTTCTCAGCGCAACCATGTTGAAGGGTGTTTGTTTATGCAGTCTAACATGACCAGGGACTCGCTGGCCAAAGCACTGTATTGTCGTACGGTGGCCACGATCGTCAGGAGAGCCAACAGTCTAAAGAGACTGGGATCCACCCTTGGTACATTGTCGTCTGATTCGAACGAGTCGGTGCACAATCAGGCTGAGGTCACCAGTCAGCATGCGTCCACCATTGGCAGCTCTGCAGGTTGGTCAATTATGTAATTTTACATGGTAACAGAGTTCATCGTTCAGGACATGTGATTGGGAAAATTTTTTTGCAAGTTTTTCCATGCTTCGCGTTGAATTTATACTGTAGATTTGGATAACAGACTGTAGATTGTTGGTAATTCAAATTTGGAACCACTGTGCTTTGCCAAGCACAGTAAGAACTTCAAAAAAAATATTAGAAATTTTAATAACTCCTCGGAGAACTTTTGATAGACTAAGTCTGCTGAAATAAGATAAATTTTGTGTAAAAATAGTGTATATTCGAGGGAGAGAAAATTACTACAGTATAAATATTGTCACGTTGAAAAATCACCGGAGAAGAATTTCAGGACTCGTTGGATGAAACTTGGAAGCTTGTAAATTTCGGTTAAAATCACCTGCTAGCTAACCTTATCGACTCGATTACCGTAGAGTCATTCTTTTCTCCTATCAAAGCCCATCTCTCGTGTCACGTGCAGGTGGTACCGGTTCCAGAAGCATGACCGCGCTGAACAACGCGGTACGACACGCGACAGACGGGTTCATCGGGATCCTGGACATGTTCGGGTTCGAGGACCCGAAACCCAGTCAGTTAGAGCATCTGTGCATCAATCTGTGCGCGGAGACGATGCAACACTTCTATAACACGCACATATTCAAGAGCTCTATCGAGAGCTGCCGCGACGAGGGTATCCGGTGCGACGTGGAGGTCGACTACGTCGACAACGTGCCATGCATTGATCTCATTTCCTCCTTGGTGAATATTTTTTAACACTGCGCAATTTCTTTTTCCTAATTAAATTCTGTCCATCCTGGGGAAAGAAGTATTGAAAGAGGTTTTCAATTTGAGGGTTTCGACTGTTTAATATCGTGCAATTTTTTTTATCGAATTTGGCTCATATTTTGGTTGGTTTTTGGTGAAAGGAAAAGTCGAAGGGGGTTCGGTACGAGGACTTTTTTTTAAATGAAATTTTGTCTATTCTGGGGAAAGAGAAATTGAAGAAGGTCAACGCGAGGGTTTTGGAATTTGCCCTTTTTTTTTGTAGCGCACCGGTTTGTTGAGTATGTTGGACGTGGAGTGTTCTATACGAGGCACCGCGGAGAGTTACGTGGCCAAGGTGAAGGTTCAGCATAAACAGAATCCGAGGTTGTTCGAACCGAGGACTGTAGACTGCAGGTCATTTGGGATCCAGCACTTCGCTGGGAGGGTTACCTACGATGCCTCTGACTTCCTGGGTACGTACAATACGCTCCTTTCTCATTTTTTATGGATTGTTTATGTACTCTGTGTAATTAGAAGATCGAGAGAAGAGGGTAGACACGTTGATAAAAGAATTCTCAAATAGCCCTCATTCCTCCAGCCTCAAAAAGGGAAAAGTTCTGTAGGTGTAGAATAGAATTAGATTTATTTATTAGAACGACAAGTTAATAAAATAAATTACCTCGAAGGACAAGTTCTCTATCCCCTATCCCCAAAAGACACGAAATGTTTTTACCTCAAACGACACCTTAATAAAAAAATCCTCAAACAGAAGAAGAAACCTCAAGTATCCCTTATTACTCTATCCTCAAGAAAACACAAAATCCCATGGATGCAGAATAAATTTCCTCCTCACAAAGATACCAACAACTCTCAGATATTTTTCAAAAAACTATTCTTCAACCAATTCACTTCAAACGACACCTTAACCCTAGTGCGGTCTTCGGGTCTTTTTTGACCCACCGCCTTTTTATATTTTTAGTAATTTTTGCTGTTGTCAAGTTTAAGGAACGTAAGGTCCTTTTTGACCCAAAAGTCTTAAGTGCACAGTCAAAACGAAGAACGCAACAGGGTTAATCAAAGAAATCCTCAAACAGAAGAAGAAACCTCAAGTATCCCACATTCCTCAGTCCCCAAGAAAACGCAAAATCCCGTGGATATAGAATAAAATTGTTCCCAATAAAGACACCAACAAGGACGTGGTACCAGACGACCTAGTAGCCGTGTTCTACAAGCACACCTGCAGTTTCGGCTTCGCCACTCACCTGTTTGGCAGTGAATTGAAGGCTCTCTACGCGAGCGACACCGTGCCCAGGGGTGTCAGCTTCAGGATATCGCCCACTTCTCACACCGACCTGTAAGAGGAGAGACAACACTTATCGAGGGAAACACTGGCCACAGTCATTTCGAGTCGTTTCTTTTCTCAGATTGAACGGGGACGAGCCAATTTCCACGTTGACGCAGGACTTCCATACACGGCTGGACAATCTTCTGAGAACTTTGGTTCACGCCAGGCCTCATTTTGTCAGATGCATCAGGAGCAACGGCACCGAGACGCCGCTTCACTTAGACAGGGGTGTCGCCATGCGCCAAATACGATCCCTTCAGGTCCTCGAAACAGTGAATCTAATGGCCGGCGGTACGTCTTGGAAGTAAATTTGCATACGCTGTGTGTCCTCTTCGCTGTTGACGCTTTTGAGTAATCCCTGTGTGTAATGGAACGTGTATTCCTGTCTGTCAGAATTTTCTTCGGGATTGTTAGAGATTTCAAGTCGTGAAGAATATTTTGTTCTTTATCATTTTTATCAGTGTCGTTAATTATCCTCTTTGGGAATATTAGAGATTAAAAGTCGCCAAGAATATTTATTTCTGTATTATTTTTATCAGTGTTATTAATTGTCCCCTTTGGGAATATTTCAAGATTGAAATTTACTTCTTTATTACATATTTTTATTAGTGTCGTTAATTGTCCTCTTTGGGAATATTAGAGATTGAAAGTCGCCAAGAATATTTATTTCTGTATTATTTTTATCAGTGTTATTAATTGTCCCCTTTGGGAATATTTCAAGATTGAAATTTACTTCTTTATTACATATTTTTATTCGTGTCGTTAATTGTTCTTTCTGGGAAAATTGAAGATCACAAGTCGTTCAGTATACATTTATTTCCTCGTTACTGTATCATTCGGTATTGCTAATCTCTCTTTTTGGTATAATTGAAGACAGGAACTCGCGAAGTACATTTATCCCCTCGTTATATGCCATTCGATTATACCTACCACTGTCGGTAGTACAGCTTCTTCTCTCGGAGTTACATGGAAAAGCTGTAAGCTTTAATTGAGTCGCTCAGAAGACAAAGCCTACGTCAAACGAAATTTACCCCATTTATTTTATTTACCAAAAGTTAAGCACCAATCTTAACGTCCTTTGGAAAACTTGTAGCGAGTCACTTTTGCCTACCGAGTCTCCCATTTGTAATTAAACTTTGAATATCAAGGATCACACTTCCTTTGTATCTTTCCGTTTCATTTCTTAATTACTACCTCTCTTCAAAACTTTCCAACAACTGCTAAAATGGTCACAGTACACTCTTTGCTATCTATTTGCTCGAACAAAGCTACTCCCTCGCTGTTGCCTTCTTTCCAAATTTCCAATTGAGAGGAAAATGAACGTCGATCGATGAAAAATCGCAGGCTATCCGCATCGAATGCGTTTCAAAGCGTTCAACGCGAGGTACAGGCTGATCGCGCCGTTCAAACAGCTACGCAGGGCGGAGGAGCAAGCCGTGGAGGACACGAAGCTGATCCTGCAGAACGCTCAACAGCTGAAGAGCAAATTCGGCGCGAGCACCAGCTGGGCACTTGGCAAGAGGCACATCTTCCTCAGCGAGGGCATTAGGCAGCAGCTCGAGAATCTGCGCTCGGAAACGCGCAGAAAAGCTGCCACCGTGATACAGGTAATGGGATTCTTCGCGATCTCCTTATCTCCTAATTGCAGACGGAAACTCGGGGGAGGAGTGTGGTATCCTTGGAATCTGTTCTCTTCGTTCGAAATGGTAGATTGAAGATTTGTAAGGGAGACGAGGGAAATTTAGTTTTGTTGCAAAGTGTGGTGGTTGGATGACTGAGAATAAATTTCAGCAATCTTGACAAGTGGTTGTTCAATAGTACTCGTTAATTGACCTTACAAAAGGGTTTTAGTGTACCTAGTCAAAAGTCTTGTATTTTAATCCTCGAAAAATGAAGATTGAATTTATTTGTCATATCTGTCTGATAATTTTCAGTAATTTTCTTCATAGAGGGATCTGAAAATCTGTAATTTTGACCCTCAGACAGTAAGGGTTACGATTACTCGTCATACCTGTCCAATAAAATTCGCTAATTGTCTTCGTAAAAAGATTCTACTGTGCCTGAGCAAAAATCTTTCGTTGTAACTTTGAAAAAATGAAGATTGCATTTATTCGTCACACTTGTCCAATAATTTTCACAAATTCTCTTAAAAAGTGATTTGAAAATCTTCCACTTTAACCCTGAAGAAATGAAGATCATACCTATGCAATATTATTCACTAATTCTCTTCATAAAAAGAAGTGAGAATCTTCTGTTTTAACCCTGAAAAAGTAAAGATCACACCTATCTAATAATGTTCACTAATTCTCTTCAAAAAGGAAGTGAAAATCTTCTGTTTTAACCCTAAAAAAGTAAAGATCACACCTATCTAATAATGTTCACTAATTCTCTTCACAGAAAGAAGTGAAAATCTTCTGTTTTAACTCTCAAAAAGTAAAGATCACACCTATCTAATAATATTCACTAATTCTCTTCAAAAAAGAAGTGAAAATCTTCCACTTCAGCCCTGAAAAGCTGAAGATCACACCTATGCAAATTCTCTTGACAAAAAGATTCTCAAATCTTCCACTTTATCCCTGAAAAAATTCAGATCACACCTATCCAACAATATTCCCAAATTCCCTTCCCACAAAGATTTTCAAATCTTCCACTTTACCCCTGAAAAGCTGAAGATAACATGAAATTCACCCTTCGATCACCTATGAATCCACCTTCAGGCGACCTGGCGAGGCTGGCGAGTAAGAAGAAGATGGCCCCTTCGGAAAACGACGATAGGAGTGACATCGGGAATCGGTCAGAAGAAGCCTCAACAGCCGACCTCGACAAATACAGGAACAGTTCAAAGAAACGTAACTACAGCGACTGGTACCGGAACTGGAACTCGACCTAGGCCACAGCCAATAGCAGGCACACCACCTCCAGATCCGTCGGAGAAGTGTGCAGATCAAAAGATGATCCAGCAAACGTGTACTCTCTTCGGGCTGGATTTGGTACGAGTGACTTTTTCTTTTCTTTTCTTTTTTTCTCTCTCTCCCCTACCGGTATCTTCCACGTTGAAGATCGAGAGACTTGAAGTCGTGAAACGAAATAGGAAGTGTTCGGCAACTTTGTTTCAGGAACGACCTCCCCCTGTTCCACCCAGTAGATCGTACACCGTGACTGGAAACACGAAGTTGGGCTATCCTCAGACGAGGATCATGAAGATGCCTTTCCCAGGTAAGAGGATTCGTTGCTCTTGCAAACCTCTATCTTGTTAAACTTGCAGGATTTTTCTTAGTGTTGTCAAATTTCACGTTTACCCGGACGACGATGTTTTAGAGAAAAAGAGGAATTTTCGAAATTTTCCTTCAGTCTTCCTTACTTTGCGATTTTTCCAATCTTCAGTTTATGGATCTGTTCTCTGCAGTGTAATTTGTCGAATTTCACGTTTAACCAAATGACGGTGATTTAGAGAAAAAGAGGAATTTTCGAAATTTTCCTTCAGTCTTCCTTACTTTGCGATTTTTCCAATCTTCACTTTATGGATCTGTTCTCTGCAGATTAATTTGTATACCGAGTGTCCTGAAAGTTACCGAAATATGAGAGAGTTGTTTTTTGTTGTATGAGAATTTTTGGGACACTCTGTATCTAGAATTTAACGTTGAAAATATTTCTAGTGTTATTAGGATGATTTTTTTTTATCGATGATTCGTGATTGTTAAATTTTTATGTATGGTTGTGGTTTTTTTTTTAAAGATTCATTTTTTTACGGTGTTTTAAATTTTTGTATGGCAATTTGGATTTTTTTTCCTTTCGAAATACGGGTAGAGTTGATGTTCTTTCAGAAGAGGGCGAAGGGGAAGTGGTCCTTCTGAAGGGTGAGACGGTCCTGGTCGTGGGTGCGTCTCCCAGGCGAGGTCACCTGCTGGTGGAGCACAACAACATCACTCTGCACGTGCCCTATCAGTTCATGGAGCTGAAACCTTGTAATATTAACGTTTGAACGCGTTATTTATTTCCGTGCCGTTTCGTCGCTCGAGTGACGCCATGTTTGATGCACAATTCTGCGCGATGAATCGTCCGAAACTCTTCGAGACTACTTTAACGTGTTCCGTGACAACGATGGAAGGAGAAGTTTTATTAAATAGAAAAGTTATTGTTTGATTGGAGGAGAAAGATTGGGGTGGCAAGAAGTCAATCCTGTGTTCCAGATTTTCAAATCTCTGCGTCTGCAAGTCTCCAAATTTTTAAATTTTCAAATCTCCAGATCTCCAAATTTTCAAATTTCCATATCTCCAAGATTTCAAATTTCCAAATCTCCAAATTTCCACATCTCCAAGATTTCAAATCTCCAAATCTCCAAATTTCCATATCTTCAAGATTTCGAATCTCCAAATTTCCATATCTCCAAGATTTCAAATCTCCAAATCTCCAATTTCCATATCTCCAAGATTTCAAATCCCCAAATTTTCAAATTTCCATATCTCCAAGATTTCAAATTTCCAAATCTCCAAATTTCCACATCTCCAAGATTTCAAATCTCCAAATCTCCAAATTTCCATATCTTCAAGATTTCGAATCTCCAAATTTCCATATCTCCAAGATTTCAAATTTCCAAATCTCCAAATTTCCACATCTCCAAGATTTCAAATCTCCAAATCTCCAAGATTCCAAATTTCCAAATCTCCAATTTCCATATCTCCAAGATTTCAAATCCCCAAATCTCCAAATTTTCAAATTTCCATATCTCCAAGATTTCAAATCCCCATATCTCCAAATTTTCAAATTTCCATATCTCCAAGATTTCAAATCCCCATATCTCCAAATTTTCAAATTTCCATATCTCCAAGATTTCAAATTTCCATATCTCCCAGATTTCAAATCCCCAAATCTCCAAATTTTCAAATTTCCATATCTCCAAGATTTCACACCTCCAAATTTTCGTATCTTCGAATCTCCAAACGTCCTTTTCCAAAAATCGTTCACTTCTCCACCGCTCGATCCCACAAACGTCGAGACTAAAATTCCTCAAAAAAGTAATACCATTCGCCGTAGCAAGGTTTCAACGTTCGCCGGTATCCTTCAAAGAGGTTGAAAAAAGGTAAAAATTGATTCCCCTTTCTTTTTCCACGGGATCAGAAGATGGACCGAGGATAAAAATGGAAAAATTGCGGGGTGTAACGACCGCAGCACGCGCGCAGCCTGTTCTAATTTAAAAGAACGACTCGAGACTCCAGTTGGATCTTCGCTTTTCTCTCCCCACGATTCCCATCCCTGTGCCTTTGTTACACTCCTTCCCGACGGTAATCCGCCATTATGCTGACATTCTATCTTCCCCGATATATCCTTTCCACTTCTTTCAGGTCTCTTTCCACGCGAATCCGTCCCTCCTGGCAAAAACAACCGGTCCTGATGGAAAACAAACGGATCGTATCCGCGAGAGATCGTCCGAGAAAACTTGTTACCCCACTGGACTTCCGGTCGCGACGTCACTTTTTCCATTAACCTAACGCAGAGACCACCACTGTCTCTTTTATTACGTTTAAATCCTTGAAAATATTCCTCGTTTTCCATCTTTCGTTCGTTGAAGATTTTGTGAAATAGTCTCGAAGGCATTTGGAATTTTTTTGTATTTTTTTACGAGTTTGGAATTGTGTTTGAATTGTTACTTTGGTAAATTAACACGTTCACTGTAGGATTTAGTTCGAAGGTTCCATGGACGGTACTTAATTTTGCAATAATTGCACTACAAATACGTTTGTTTAAAATTGAAATTTATTTCGTATGGCAGAATAGACGAAATTCAAAATTGAACAGATATGTTCAGTAATATGATAATACTAAGAACTTCAACAATCTACACGAAAAGGAACAATTCTTACCATTTTATTCACGTTTTCTTTAGACCAAATCATTTTTCAAACAGTCGAAGCGTCGATACCGAAAGAAGAGTACCAAAATGGCGGTTCACGGTCCCCCATAGGCATCTACGAGCGACGAGGCAGCACCGATAAAACTAGAAAATTAGAATTAGCCGACGAGACGACGAACTCTATCCCCCAATTAATTACACCGACTAAAAACCAAGTTTCACGCAACTTTTTACCTTACCGCTCGTTAAAAACGCGTTCCGTCTCAGTCGCGCCACGTTCGTCTTCCATTTTGTAGATAAGTACACGCACTACGACCCGCGTTATTCGAATTAGTAAGCATGTTAGCCTGTTAAACGCCGTAGATCGTCGCAACACACGACGATAGCGCGTCTATCTACCCTAGACTATTATTTTCTCAAAGAATTTCTTTGTATAGCGAAACGAAGAAATAATTCTATTTTGTCTAGGGTCTGAGGATATTTACCAACAGTATTCGTTCGTCTGTCTTTGAATTCTTAGTGCCAATTTCCGGAGAGAAATCTGTCGCTGCTGTGAAACGTGCGAATTTCTTGTCTAGGAAAATAGAGAAAAAAAATTGAAAGAAGTGAGTGTAGAAATTTGCTCGTTTCACGGTGTACTTGTACCATGTATTATACGATTAAGCATCGATTTCGTAAGACAGCTCGAGAGTAGCTCTTAAATGATAGGTCTCTAATCGACAGTTACTCTATCGTAATCGCGATAATCATTAACACGCAGTAGTTTCTTAACAATTGATTCGGTGAAAGGTAGAGAGGGAGAGAGAGAGAGAGGAGTGAAAAGAGTGAGATTGAGTATATGTGTGTCTGTGTGTTTGTGTGAGAGAGAGGGAACGCTTTGTAGATACACGAAACTTGTTCAGTTAGAAACGATAAGCGTCCATCGAGAGGAGAACAGAGGTAGAGAATTCGGTGCCTGGAAACTCGAATGGAGGCAAGCGTCTCGAGAATATGTACATATACGAGTATGTATGCCGAATGTTACGTAGTTTACAGATACCGGAGCTGTAGCATTGCGTATAGGTAGTTGTAAGTGCGCCGAGATATTTTTCAATAAAATATAAGCGTCTTTGGAAAAGATTACACCGTCTCTCCTCAATCGATTTTTCTTTCTCCTTCCGTTTATCCTGAGATGTGAGATTTTTGAGTCGAGGAGTAGCTGAAGTTTTTTGGTGGGTTTTGGAGGAGGGGATTTTAGTCGATTCGAAATTTTATTGTAACTGAGGTGAAGTATGGTAGTTGCGATTTTTCGAGATGAATTTGTTGTTAATTAGAATTTTTTTTAACGCTTGCTTGGGTTTGTAGAGTGAGACAGTTATTCAGTGATTATTCTGCAATTTTTATTTTAAAGTAGTTTATTATATTTAGTTTATTCTTTCGTGCATCCCTGTAAATATTCTGCAATTTATTGGTACACCGAAATCGACGAGGAAATAGAGTAATGTCTCTACAAGTGTCAGCCAGTGTGAATTCTACAAGTGTCAGTATAGATGGTCCTACGTTTAGGTCTGCGTCATTGTTGCGCCTATGTTATCTCCCTCGCAGTCAGTCAAGCGTGTAACGCTTAATAATTTGAACAACATTTACTTATTAATACTTATTGAGTAATTAATTTAATGTCGGCCTACCTCCACGTAAAAAAAAGAAAAAAATGTAGGGCCGATTCTACAAGTGTCAGTCAAACGTAGTCCCTGACTCTACAAGTGTCAGGTTTAGGTTCCTTGCGGACTGACACTTGTGGAGACATTAGTGTATATAAAAAAAAAAAATCTAAAAATCTAAATTTGCCCCGACTAGCTGGTAGTCCCATCAGAGAAATGTGCCGATCACAAAGGGTTAAAGGAAGGCAATACAGAATACATGCGCGCAGTTTTTTTATTCCAATAGTACAACAGTCAAGAAAATCAAAATTCAGGAATAAAGCTCCCTCCAAGATTTCTTCCGAACACATTTTTCCATTCGCTAACTGTAAACAAAGAAAAAACTACTTGTAATAAAAAAATGAACAAAGAAGAGTCTCAGCTATATCTGCCGCCATCGTTCTACTTTTCCACTTAGGCAAACCGTCGTCAGACTCGATTTGTATCGTTTTACCGTATCGCCGGACGATCTCAGATTCCGTCGCGTCAATTTCACCGGGATGCAAGAAAAGGGACTTGGAAGGGGAGCGAATCGAGGCGTGAAAGGGGTGAGCTTATCGCGACACGTGACTAAGGGTGCACGTGCAACAGCACGCGTGGTCGCGTCGACGAAACGACGCCGCGTACGAGCCTTAATGACGACCAGTTCCGAGGGATCGCGCGATTCGCGTTCGCATTAACGAGCGCCGCGACCGATCCAGCGTTAATTAGCTTTTAATTAACATTGTTCGAACTGGTAGGGGGAGCGGTGGAATTTATGTAACTCGGTCGACTCACTTCCGCAACGATGGATTTCCTCACTCTGCGTTTTCGTTTCGCATCAACGGTGGTCGGGAATTTTGGTTAATTTACTCGACCGATGGAAGTGTGAGGGTGTGTAGAGTTGTTTAGATACTCGAGGTTTGCGATATCTTGGGATCGCTGCGATTTTTGATGAAAAGTGGAGGAAAAAGTAGGTTGAATTTTTTAGTGTTAACGTTACCACTTTACCGACCGGTAGCGGTTGAACATCCTACGCACTTCCTACCCGCTCACTCGGACACAGATACATCGCTGACACCGCCTCTGTTTAGACTCTAAATAGGCTATCGCGCGGGAATATATGCGCTTTTTCTTATACCTATAGAGACCGCTCACTCGGACACAGATACATCGCTGACACCGGCTCTGTTTAGACTCTAAATAGGCTATCGCGCGGGAATATATCAGGCTATCGGTCGGTAAGCGTTGGCGGCGAAAAGTCGATTAATAGGCTACCGGTCGGTAAAGTGTTAATTGTAACTTGAAGACAGCCTTGAGAAATTTTGTCGTTCCTCACGCAGTAAAAAAAGCGATTAACAGGCTACCGGTCGGTAAGCGTTGGCGGCGAAAAGTCGATTAATAGGCTACCGGTCGGTAAAGTGTTAATTGTAACTTGAAGACAGCCTTGAGAAATTTTGTCGTTCCTCACGC